TAATATTGACCTGTATTCCATCGAAGAAAAATCCGTGATCAAAATTTTGCTAAATTTTATTAAACGGAAGAAAAAGAGCCAGTCCTGTATCTGACTAAAATTACTTTTTTTTGCATTTTAATAAAATTACTTGAAAGTTGCTTGATCGCTTAAATGATATCCAGAAGAGAAAAATATTGACTCAAAATTTATTTTTAAACCTTGTACAAATGAGGAGCTAGCCAGTCCTAAAAGTCAAATGGCTGCTTCAGCCGAAATTTCATATAGAGTAAAAATTGTTGTAGAAATTGTTGTAGTTGTATAATTGTAGTAGAAAATATTAGGCTGACTACCAGATAAGAGTTGACTGAGCTGACTACCTTAATTAGCTTAGAACTGTTTCAGTAAACGTTATAATTCCCAATTTGCACATCATTTCGTCAATTCGTCAATTTGCACATCATTTAAATGAAATTTGGCAAAATGGGAAAAACTTTAACAAAACAGATTACAGTGATTTCCAGATAAGATCAATATTGGCTCAGAAATCGGTGAGCTGTTACAGATAACATGAAAATCCTCCAGTCCTCTTTCTGATTATAAGCTGTTTACATCAAGTTTTAAGCAAATCGAAAACCATTACGGAAAACAATTAATCTGCCTTCCAGCTAAGATTAATGTAAACTTTGAAACACTTGAAAAACTTTAGAAAAGGCGAAAAGCGCCCAGTCCTAAATCGCACATTCGATAATTAGCACCATAATTTATTGTGAACCCTAAAATTTATCTATTTATCTCATTGAGCTCCAGAAAGGCTAAATAATTGATTTAAATCAATTCGGAAGTTTTCTATCATCAAATATTCATCCAGTCCTGGAATTTTTAAGTCAAACTGTTTAAAAATCGGAAATAAAATAAAGAAAGAACGTGAATTTCGGTGAATGCTCTGAACGTTGAATGCTCTTAAAGCATTGAAGGGTTGTTTGCTTTGGATCTAAAGAAGAAGTCGTTTTGGGATGCAGCAATTAGCAATCAGACGCTTGACTAAAAGTCGCAAGCTCAAGAAAAGATGTCTAGATTAAAATCGCTGAAAGCACTTAAAATTAACTTTTATTATTTAATCCATAAACTCTGTAGCTTGAAAGTTGAACAAAATAAACAATGCTTGTGTTTTTCTTTGGTTTATCCTTTGAAAACGGGTGTGGTTTGGGAAAAATGTTGAGAAGGAAAGCCTTTCCACTCAACGCGTAATCACTTTACAATTTAAAGCAGGAAGCTTTCGAGAAACTTGTTTGTTTTGGGTTTAGTAGAGTAGATGTGACGCAGGATGGACATGTTAAAAGTTATAAATGTTACATGGAAATTAGTTGACATGTACTCCATCAAGATTTTATACGACGATTTTCTACGATGATTTTCGTAGAAATTCCAATCCTGTCAAACTGTAAAAACAAAAACGAATAATCCTGCAAAAAACGCTATAAACTCACTAAATTGACTTCCAATTAAGACAAATATCGACTCAGAAAGCGGTGAATTCTTTCAGAAAACGCTAAAATCCCTCAGTCCTAAACCACACCTTTTAGCGGATCTATCTTTTTGTATAGAACTGCCTTGCAAATGAGGAAAACTATCTCATTGAGCTCCAGAAAGAATCTCAATTCGATTTAAAGTTATTCAATGATATTTGATCTGCTGATATTGATCCAGTCCTGTTAATTCTAATTAATTCTAAGCTAAACAATCTAAAAAGTGAGCATTTTCAGAAATAGGAAAGCCTTAGCTTACAAAAAAACAAGCTGGCTTAAAGATAGAACAAAAATCAATCACATTAATAAAGATCGTAAAAAACTAGAGGGTAAGCCAGGCCATGGGACAATCAAAAATATGGGACAATTTGATAATGGACAATACGTGTACAAAGGAAGGAGGGGAATGAAGCGATGTCTCGAGGAGTCACCCCTTTCCATCGGCCGATCACTATTTGCACACGGGCAAGAGGACGGACACACGCAAGTCTTCTCTTTCTTCCAACTTCTTTCTTTCTTTCTTTCTTTCTTTCTTTCTTTCTTTCTCCTCTAGATATCACTTCGATAATATTTTGGCTAGAAGCTGCTAGAGAGACATAATAAAAGTCGAAAATTGTAGTTTTTAAGCAAAATTTGATGATCATCAACTAGAGCTTTAGAGCTTTAGATTTAGATCTTTAGATTTAGATCTTTAGATTTAGAGCTTTAGATCTAGAGCTTTAGATTTAGAGCTTTAGATTTAGATCTAGAGCTTTAGAACTTTAGATTTAGATCTTTAGATTTAGAGCTTTAGATCTAGAGCTTTAGATCTAGTTCTTTAGATTTAGATCTTTAGATTTAGAGCTTTAGATCTAGAGCTTTAGATCTAGTGCTTTAGATTTAGATCTTTAGATTTAGAGCTTTAGATCTAGAGCTTTAGATCTAGTTCTTTAGATTTAGATCTTTAGATTTAGATCTTTAGATTTAGAGCTTTAGATCTAGAGCTTTAGATTTAGATCTTTAGATTTAGAGCTTTAGAGCTTTAGATCTTTAGATTTAGATCTTTAGATTTGGATCTTTAGATTTAGAGCTTTAGATCCGTTCTTTAGCTCCCCAAAAGCAAGCTGAGCTTTGATGAAACTCGCAAATCAATCTATTGCTCTTATGTAATCGTTTTATCACCAAAAATGACTCATTTTTCGAGAATGATTGGGGAAAAGTGCGTAAAAAGCATCGCCAACTCAATGGATTATGCAAAAACGATGCAAATTCGACAGGCATTGATGGGAGAATTGTGAAAACTCGACAAAATTCGGCGACAATTCGAGTGCTTTTTGCCTAATTACTACCAAGTTTTTTGATTTCGATAAAATTTACAGCAAATGGAGCACTGGAGTAGCGAGATCCAGAATCATGTGCACAACTTTTTCAATCATCGACAAGTGAGTGAAAATACTGAATTGGCTGAGCAAATAATTGGCTGCTGATTCCACGAAACTCATTTCCCAGGTGAATATTCTGGTGACATCGGTGTTGATCTTCGTATCGATCTACTTTTCGATCGTCACCGCACTTGGGCAACACGTTTTTCATCCATTTGGTGGGGGAAAAAAAATGGATTTTATGGATTGGATTTTATCAAGTTCAGCACATTAGAAAAAGCTGGAAACAGCAAAAAAAAAAGCAAAATTTTTGTCTAAAGAAATAAAGAAAAACAAAGAAAAAGGGGGTGGGACAAATGCGACCTTTTTTTTTTGCTGGAAAAGGCCTTAGGCAAGGCCGTAGAGCTTCGAAAATGTTTCGAAAATATGTCCATATAAGGGAATCGTATGCGCAGATTCCGAATTTCGACAAATCAGACCTCGCTGACACGTCAAATTTGGGCTAAAAGGCAAAAACTGCGGAAAAGCGTTAAGTTGCGTAGTTTTTGCCTTTTAGCCCAAATTTAACGTGTCAGCGAGGTCTGATTTGTCGAAATTCGGAATCTACGCATACGATTTCCTTCTATGAAAACATTTTTGAAGCTCTACGACCTTTCCTAAGGCCTTTTCCAGCAAAAAAAAGGTGCGCAAATGTCCAAAAAAAGGTCGCATTTGTCGCACCCCCAAGAAAAACAAAGAAAAACAAAGAAAAACAAAGAAAAACAAATAAACAGACAAACAAACAAACAAACAAACAAAAACAAAATTCCCGAAAAAAAAAGAAACAAAACAAAAAAATTTCAGAAATTAATGCATTTTATCAAACGACTCGAAGTACAGTAGTCTGAAAAATTGTCTGAAAAATTGTCTGGAAAATTTTCGACTGATTTTTTCAAATTTTTTACTGCACTGGTCCAATTTGCGCTTTATTTTTGCGTATTTTCAACGTTTATGCGGCTAAAATCTTGCTCAATTCTATCATCTCTGCACTTTTCCCTCTTAAAAAAAGCACTTTTCTCTCGTAAAAAAGCATTTTGATTTGCTGAAAATTTAAAATTTACCCAGATTCCCTTTCTGCGAGCGATTTTTTCACTGTTTCTTTAGCTTTCAAACGTTTCTGTTCATAATTTTCTTCATTTCAGGTTAAAATCTTACTACTCACTTGTTTTTGTCGAACTTAACAGCACTGTCAAACTGCACTGGCTCTGGGGCTATAGTAGTTGGGGGGCACAAAATTTTTTTTGTTAAATGAGCTGATTTTTTTGCAACTAAGGGTTTTTGACTATGCTGAATCGATTGGTGATAGTTTTACACAACTTTTAGCAACGTTTATAACAAATATGCTAAAAAAACATAATGTACTTTTCCTGGGATGAAGTGGCCAAAAAGTACCCGTTTTCTTGAGTCATGCCCTCGTTGGTAACTTGTTTAACATTTTGTTCTTGTTATTTTTATTGCTATTTGTTATAAACGTTGTTAAATGTTGTGCAATGTTGTGTGAAACCATCACCAATCGATTCAGTATAGTCAAAAACCCCTAGGTGCAAAAAAATAGTTCATTTAGCGAAAACAAAATAATTTGTGTCCCTCCCACTACTATAGCACCCTGGTAGATAATTGTCTGATAGATAATTGTCGCAATATAAAATTCTTAAGATCACTGTATTATTTATACGCTTCTCGTTTATTCTCGTTCAAGCTTTCAACCAATTTTTTTTCCAATCCAGTTTTTCTCTTTTCAGGTAGAATGACTGGCTTCGAGATGGAGATGCTGTGCTACGACCTAAAGTTGGAAGTGCTGGAACAAGTCGATCCGAAAGATATGCAAGAGTTGATGAAAGTGAATGCCGGATTTCGATCGATTTTAATGAGGGAACCGTGGAGAATTCTGGGGAAACACGTTCACTTGATCGAGATTGGAGACGACGTTTGCATCAAGAAGAATCCCCATTCTTTTCCCGTGTATCTATTGAGCGAATGCACAGATTCCGATTCAACTCCTTGGTATAAATCGATCCAACGAGAGAGCTATTTCCAGCTTTCACGTCATTCTGCTTTACTCAAACGGATTCATTCATGCGAGAAGATCAAAATGTCACTGGAAGTTCTCGGGTGTACAACTGATGCTTTAAAAGATCGACCCCAATTCACTTTCATTTCGAAACTATCATTCGCAAACGAACTCGAGCTTTCAGTTCGTTCTTTTACTTGTTTTCAGCAAGAGTGGATAAACATTTTACCGCCAATCAACGAAAGGGCACAACTGTTTTTCGAGTATCCTCTTTCACATGATGATTCGATGGAAATCTTCTCAAATTTTGTCAAGACTCTGCTTGCCAATTGCAGAGAAATTCTCGTGAAATGCCCGTCGACAAAGATCTTCAATTTCTTCCAAGGCCTTTCAAAGGGTGAAGCTGAAATGATCAACCTTATTGTAAATGTCTACAAGTTTGACGCCAATTCCATTGATCCCTGGATAACCGTTCACAAAGTGATCACCTCGGGGATTCCCAGCAAAAATCGAGATGCAGCTATTGTGATTGTTGGGCCGAAAAGTTGGATGCGAAATTTTAAGCAAAGCCTCACGATTATTCTCACACAAACACCAGAGATTCAAGAAGTTCACGGTGCTGAGGCTACCGGAATCTATCAATTTGCAGTCGAAACTTTGAGCAGATATGCAATCACGAAGAATGTTGACATCTCCAAGAATCAAAGCTTCTGTTTCAAGCGTAAACTCGATCGTGAAAGAGAATGTGTCTATGTTGTTGATAATAATTCGCAGTTATTCTTTGCCAAATATCGCAAGATTGTGAATGTTTGATGTTGTAGTGTTTGTTTGTTTGTTGTTCTTGTTGTTCTTCTTGTTCTTCTTGTTGTTGTTCTTGTTCTTCTTGTTCTTCTTGTTCTTCTTCTTCTTCTTCTTCTTCTTCTTCTTCTTCTTCTTCTTTTTTGTTATTTATTTATTCGTGTTCATCACCGTTTATATAGAATGATTATCGGTTGGATTGAAATAAAATATTTTCGTCATTGTTGATCTCTTGGTAAAGGTTCACTTTCTTGACAATACCTTGAAGATTTGTGCTAAGTTTGAGTGTATTTGAGATTGGAGCAAGCCAAGTTGCCGCTTTTTGGTGAACATTTGTATATGAGGGATTTACCGACAAATTCCTAGATTATTCGTTTAGTGTTTCTCTGTTGAAATTGAAAACAAGCTGAACGTGCTAAATTTAAGTGTAATAACTGTTTAAAACGTTGCTGCTTAACGATTATCTTTTGAATGGCTGCTAGTTTTTATTTCCAGGTAGAATGACTGGCTTCGAGATGAGAAATCTGGCATCATTCCCGATGGAGAAGTTGTGGTACGACCGATGGAGAGTGTTACGAAACGGGAGATGCTGGAACAAGTCGATTTGAGGGATGTTAAAGAATTGATGCAAGTGAACAAGGGATTTCGGTCGATTTACTTCGAGGAACCATGGAGAGTTTTTTTGGAAAACGTGTATTTGATAGATTTGGAAACATCTTCGCTCGCTTATATCAAGCAGTTCTGCACGAGTTGCCCAGTCTCCGTTCAATCGTTTCGATCTTCTTTGTCAATCAGTTTTCATCGAGAGGATTAGCTCTTGCGAAAGGTGGCAATTGTTGATGAGTAATGTGGCATATGTGAAGCATGTGATGTGAAGCAAGCTCAAATTGCTCTCGTTTCGAAGTTGGTTTCTGTTAATGAACTTTTGTGTTCGGTCGACGACTTTTCTCTTTTTCACGAAGAATGGAACGATCTTTGCTTTGCTTTGCCACCAATCAACAAAGTTCAGTTGATCTTCAAATACCTTCCACGAGGAAATGGTTTCCCGGAGTAACTTCCCTCAACTTTCTTTGACACTCATTTTACTGCATTTATGGAGATTTCAGATTATTTTGTCATTCAGCATAGTTTCCAAAAGTGTATCAAGTACTTTCACGTGGTCAAGCTGAAATGATCGAAATTTCGACGCAATCGGTCTAGACTTGGATTAAACCTTACCAAGAACTTGTTTATCAAGTGATCACCGAGGAAATTCCAAGCAAACATCCCGAATCAGCCATTACGATCATCAGCAAAAAGAGAATGGACCAATTTGCATGCGAAATTGTCGATTTTCTCTAATGGTGTTCTCTACAACCTAATGGTGTCGAAGAGGTTCTCGGCTCCGAAATTGATCAGCTTAAGGCCTTGGAAAATTATCCGATCTGTAAGCGTTACACAATTTCCCCCAAGAACAAGCGCTACTTCAAGAAGAGAATCGATGACAAGAGGGAATGTGGCTACCATTTCAACATGAAATTCTATCGCTTCTTCGCCCAGTATCGTAAAATTAACGAAAAGTGAATTGCAGGGTTTTACAGTTTTTTTAAAGTCCTATTCAATTGTTACTTTTCAGCATGTACATAAAAATTAATGAGAAAATGAGGATTCTTGCGTTGTGACACTTTTCATTGATTTGTTTTTTCTTGTTGTACATAAATATTTTTGCAACTTTGAGTTAATGGGATTTGGCTGCTTCCAAGTGATTTTCTTTGTTTTGTCGATTTGTCGATGTCGATCTTATGAAATTTTTAGTCAAATTAAAGAGTTTTGATGGGAAGATTAGTTTAATAAAGCTCTTCTTCCAGTTCCAGCAGATGCAAAGCATTTTTTTTGCCATCAAGCTTGTTTCAAAATCGATAATTATATAATGAAACCAGAATTTTGGGTTTTTGTATCAACAACAACAAAATATTCAGGAAATGCGAATGATACACGAGCAGATCTATCAATTGATGTGGGTGGAGAGGTGGTGAAGTCGTCGATGTCGCTATTTTTCGTCATCTCATTGGGATTGTTGGGCGGGCGACTATTTTTCTACGTTCGTCTGCCGCCATCGATTGGTGAGTTTTTTGGAAAAGGGGCAAATGGTGAATTTATCGTGAATTTAAGACACCTCTCTATCATGTCAAGCTGAAAAAGCTTGTTAGAGCTATTTCAGCTGGTTGTCGTCTATTATAAAAGCCTTATAACCGGTTTTCGATAGTTCTAGATAATTGACAGGCTAAGAAATTGAGTAGCTAATGTTTTCTGTTAAGAAAATGAAGCAAAATCGTTTTGGCTATAAGATCACCAAATCTTTTTGACTTTTAGGCTGCCTCCTACTCGGCATCGCTCTCCGCAACATTCCAATCATCAACGAATGGCTTTGGATTCATCCAACGTGGGATCTCCTACTCGGCAAGCTTTCATTCGCCGTCTTGCTCGTGCGTTGTTGTCTGGGCATCGATTTGTCAACGGTGATCACGACTCCGGTTGGTAGGCTCGCCGATGTGCCGCAAGTCCGTAGAAGAAAGAAATTAAATAGAATTAACAAAGCAAAGAAATAGAATACGAGTCTTAAAAGTCTTAAAATTTAGATCTATTAAATTAGATTGAAAATTTTACCTTTCAAAGTCTTAGCTAGGAGTTTTGAGCTTTTAGAATTTGGATTTGGATTTGAATTGAATCAAAATTTGAAATTTGAAGTCAAAATGCGGTCTAGGGCTTTTTTGTTAAACGATTTCTTATCAAAAATCACATCATTTCCCCTAAAATCAAATATTTAGGTGGTCCTGTTGGCGTTGGGCGGCTTAGCGCCACTCCTTGAGTCGACCGCCATCTGCCTGGCCGCTCATCTCATTTTTGCGTTCCCGCTCGGCATTAGTCTTATCTTTGGGTAGAATGGAATGCATTTTTTGAAACCAAGCTATCAAACCAAGCTTGAAACCAACCAAGCTATCAAATCTCTCAATTTTCAGTCTTCTCCTCGGTGCCACTTCGCAAGCTGTCATCATCCCATCGCTGTTGAATTTACAGAATAAGAATCTCGGCACGGATAAGGTAAAGTTTAACATTTTGTGCTGAAATTTTGTAAACACCAGTCCTGGGGCACTTAATTATTGATTTTTTAGGGAATCCCATCACTGATCGTTGCTTGTGCCTCTATCGATAACCTTCTATTGGTCATTTTGTACTCAGTGATCCAGAAATTCGTCTTCTCACCGGGTTTGGCTAATAAATGATAAGTTTTATAGAAAAAAAATCAATCCTAGAAGCTCCAGTTGAGATCATTTTGGCAACGATTGGAGAAGTGGTGGCGAGTGTGCTTGTCGGGAATCTTTTGGGTAAGCTAAAATTGGATAAGATTGGCTAAATGTTGAGGGGAAAGTTACCGTAAACTGGAAATAGAAAGTTGAGTATCCGATCCATCTATACAGTCAATTATATCTGGGTTACGGTAACTAAACCTTTCTACAATTAGCTGTCAGGGTTACAGTAGCTGGTAGAGCTGGTAGAGATTTTGAGAAGACAATTTGTCAAGCTTGCTTTTGCATTTTTTTAATCTATCATGAACAAGACTAAAATTTTTGAATTCTATCATAATTCTATCATAAATAAGTCTAAAATCTTTCAATTCTGATTTCCAGGCTGGCTACTGTGGTGGTTCCCGCGTCGTGGTGACACTTACACGCATTTGGCGCGAACGATTCTCCTTGTTTCCCTCTGTGTCGCACTGTTGTTCTCGTCGGTTAGGTGAGTGAGTGGGCACGAGTTTTTTTTTGTCTTCAAAACCACCTTTTCTGGGGTAGTTTTATGCGTAGATTTCGAAAAACACAACAAGAGCTCGAGAAAAGCCGTTTTAAGTCGAGTTCTGGGGCTCCAAAGTGTGCGCTCATACAGTGAGGAGAATCGGGAAGAGGGACACAGGGAAGAGGTCTAAAAATGGTTGCACAAAACATTTTTTGAAACCAAAAACACTTCTTCTGGCAGAATTTAACCTATTGATTATGTTTCTGATCAAATTCGAGTAAAATAAAAATATTTTTTTCCAAATTTTGAATATGTGCCCCAAATGAGTCAAAATCGGTCAAAAAACAAAAGATTTTTTTTCCATTTGTTTTGCATCTACCAAATGTTAGAAAAGGAATATTTAGTGGTTAAAAATGGTTGGCTCTAGTTTTGGCTCTAGTTTTGACCTTGAAAAGTGCCCCAATAGTCGATAGCTTGGGCTCCAATAACTTATATAGTGAAGTACACTAAAGAAGTGCGCACTTTGGAGTCTCGAAACTCGGCTTAAAACGCCTTTTCCCAAGCTCTCGTTGTGTTTTTCGGAATCTACGCATAAAACTACCCCAGAAAAGATGGTTTTGAAGACAAAAACTCCATCAACAAGGCTAGTACCACGACATTTTCAGACTGAATGTCGAATTCGCTGGGGTGATCTCGTTGGTGACCACGTGTTTGACGGCGATCCGTATGTGGCGGGTGGACAGCGAGAAAAAGACGTTCATCGAGGAGAAAACGTTTGCCACTTTCTGGAATCTCATCTTTCAGCCGATTCTTTTCGTGATGTTCGGCATGAAATTTGATATACCGAATGTGAGTAGGAGGAAATTGACGATAATGGCAATTTTTTTTCATTTTTCCCTAATCTGGATAGCACAGAGACAGATTTTACAGTTCAAGCTTGACTTTTGTTGATTTTAGACAATTTTTGACAATTTTAGACAAGCGGTCAAACAGTTGCCATTGGGCTGGCAATTCTGGGAATCGGTGTCGGGATTCGCGCTCTAGCCGTCATTCTACTCACTCTCTGCTCGGGACTGAGTTTCGCCGAGCAACTCGTCTTTGTTGGATCGTTTTTCCCAAAAGCCACTATACAGGTTTCTCCATTACAATATTCTTTTAAAAATAGCGATTCAAAAGCTAGCCTTAAAATTACCGTAACTCTTGAAGTAGCTTGAAAATACGGTAGAATACAGTCTGGTAGAACCATATTGGAACCAAATTTGAGCCATATTGACACCGTATCCGAACCATATTGGAATCATATTGGAATCATATTGGAACGATATTGGAACCACATTGGAACGATTTGTAGAAACCATATTGGAACCATATTGGAACCATAATCAAACCATATTCGAACCATATTGGAACCATATTGGAACCATATTGGAGCCATATTGGAACCATATTGGAACCATATTGGTAGAATACCCCATAAACCATTCAATTTGCAGGCTGTTCTCGCGCCATCGATCGTTTTGGCCGCTTCTGGATGGTTGGATCTTCTACCGTACTCGCAAATGATTCTCGCAATCTGTGTGGTTTCGATTCTGATCACCGCTCCACTTGGGCAACTGTTTCTTGATGTATGCGCTCCACAATTGCTGAGAAAGGATTTTGTTCAATCGGTGAGTGAAATTGAAGCTAATTTTATAGGGCAACATGAATCGGTCCTTAATATCCTTCAAAATAGTAACCAGCGATAATTTTTGCACTTTAAACTTTGATCTGGAACGCACACGAGTGTTTCCTTAATCTAATTTCGATTTAGGGAATAATTATCTGCTAGTAGTAAAAGAAAACTACAATAGGCCCAAAATTATGGCTCACAGTACGCGACAATGACCTCATTTTTATTTTAAGCTCTAATCTGGAAGGCACAATAGCTATCTCAATGTTTCGTTTAGTGTCCGGATCTATTCCAGGTGAACATCACACCATCTGGCGGTTATTATGGAAGTTCGAAAATCGATCAAGATGGCTTTGATCCATCGCTGGGACAAGGCGGATACGTGTCATACAATGAATTGAAGAGTAGTCTGGAAAGGGAAAGACAAGAGAGACAACAACAAAGAGCACAGGATAGTCATCAAATGGAGAACGTGTGGAGTGGAGGGAATAATGGGTGAGCGAGGGAAAGATTCGTTTTCTAAACTCTGTCCACTACCGTATCCGTGGTGAATCTATTTACGATCTGTTCCAGGCCCTGGCTTAAGCTTAGGCTTAGGCTCAGGATTAGGCTCAGGATTAGGCTTAGGCTTAAGCTTAGGCTCAGGATGAGGCTCTGTAGGCTCTGGCTCAGGATCAGGCTCCGGCTCAGGATTAGGCTTAGGCTTCGGCTCCAGCTCAGGCTTAGTCTTAGCCTCCAGCTCAAGATTAGGCTTAGGCTTAGGCTCAGGCTCCGGCTCAGGATTAGGCTTAGGCTCATGCTTAGGCTTAGGCTCAGGATTAGGCTTAGCCTCCAGCTCAGGCTTAGGCTTAAGCTCAGGATTAGACTCAGGCTCAGACTTAGGCAAAGAAAGAGCTGAGAAAAACCCATTGGAAATTCGACATTTGATTTTCAGAATACCGATCGAGGATCAGGCCCGTGACTACGAGCGCTATGTGGATCAGAGGTAGAGTTGTTTAGCAATGAAATCGAGAAGCTGTTTACTGATTTTAGACTCAAAAACCCCTCAAATGCTCGTGACGATCTGCCGGTGATCGTCTCCTCTCCACCCCCGCAAGTCGAGCGTTTCCCCACTCCGTCTTTCATGAAAAAACCACCTCCATCGCAGAATAGCCCGAGTTTTCAGCGATTCTAAGTTTAGCTAAGTTCTTTGGTATCCAATTTCAAAAAGTTGACCTTCTTCGACCTTCAAAAAGTCTTCTTCGATCTTCAAAAAGATTCAACCCTCTTTTTTAAGCCAAAAACCCTTTGTGAGCTCCAATTTTCACTATCTCCTTAAAATTTCCCACTTTCCGAACAAAAAAACTAACGTTGATCTCTGATCTGGAACGCACACTACTTAGTTCTTTATCGAATTTCACAAAAATTTTCACTTTTTCTATTTGACGCCAAATTTCAGTCTGAGACACAGACGTGGCAAAAAAAAAATGAAAGAAAATTTTTTATTTTTTTGATGGCTTTTTTTTTTTGAAGGCTTTACTTGTTTTGGTTTTAAACTTTTATAAACACTTCAAACGAATCGTTTTTTTTTTTAAAAAAAACAATGATAATGAAAAGAAAGAACTGAGAAAAACCCATTGGAAAATGAAAAATGAAAAATGAAAATTGAAAATGAAAAAAATATAAAATTTAAAATTAAAAAATGAGAAAATTTGGGAAGAATGACAGTACCCGTATTTGGAAATGAGAGATTTTTGATAGATGGTGGAAGCAAATTTCTATTTGTTTCCCTCGTCGGCCGGCGGAATGTGCATTTGGACCTCGTTTGAAGCCGACAAATCGGTCAAATAGTATGTCCAGTAGCTGAAAAAGGTGATGAGAATGTGCTCAGAATGAGTTCACCCGGATTTCTTGAGATTGGCTGACTAGATTTCGAGAAAAGTTTTTGATTTCTCTTAGCTGGATATCACACTGGATATTGTGTGAATCGGTTTTTGCTTTTCAGTCGTTTTAAGACTCACATAATGTTGAACAAACAGTAGCACGTCGGGAAGAGGATCGCACTGGAAAAAAAATTTTTGAATTTTTATTGAGGATTGATAGGTAGTAGACGTAGGGACTGGTAGTATTCATTATTTTGCAAAATTGGATCAATGGGGTAGTCCAGGTCTTCCAAGTTTCTTAATAAAGGCACAGAAAGCACAGAGGAAAGGGCGCGGAAAAATACTCATCAATTTATAGCAATTCCGGCCATGCACCGGCGATAAGAATGAGATTTTTGTGCATCCTGGAACGCACTAGGTAAAGTAAGTTGAAAATGGAGGGAAAACGGACGCCTTTAGGGCAGTGCAGGGGCACGGTTTAGAATCAAGGCGATTTTCGGCGATCCTGGTTCTTGTTTGCTATAAAATAGGAAGTTTTTGGGCATTCTGGAACGCACAGTATACAATGCTTTAATGAAAATTCGAAGAAATTAGATTGAAAGGTAGGGCATAGGGAGATGCTTTAGGACTGAGGCGATTTTCAGCGATTCTATCACGTATCGGCTATAAGGCGGAGATTTTTGTGCATCCTGGAATGCACAAAGTTGACTTAGTCAAGAGAATTTTAGAAATCTACTGTTTTCCATGGTCTCAAAAGAGCACGGTTTAGGACTGAGAAGATTTTCAGCGACTCTACCATATACCGGTTATAGAAATCAAATTTTTGTGCTTCCTGGAGCTCACAAAGTAGACTTGGTAAACGAGAATTAAGAAAATTAAGAAAAAATTCAGTCTGTCATCGTGGCGAATTGCCAGAGCGTCGGTCTCTCAAACCGGAGGTCTTGAAGCCTCTCGGGTTCGACCCAGGCTGCAGTCATTTACTTTTGGCAACCACCGCCACTACTTGCCAGCGGAACTAGCCTTACTGTTTAGAGGCAATTCCAAGCGAGAGGGAGTTTAGAGGCAATTCCAAGCTTTGGGCATGAGCTTACCTGTAAAAATCGACGACTTCCGGTCGCAATGAGGGCACTCTTTTCCATCGTTTCCGCACCGCTCCAAAGAACGATCCCCTTTCTCGGCGTCGCTCAAACGCTTGCAACGGGGGTAACATGTCGGCGTCGCCGAGTGGCGGTGTCTGGAAAGTGATTTGGGTGAATTTAAATGCAGAATACCGTAATCCTATCTCGCTACAGTACTCAAAAAGTGACGTAAAATGCTCAAAAAGTGATCTAAAATAGTCAAAAAGCTTTCTGTGATCTAGAAAAAAGCAAAAATGAACTTTAAAAAAGAAAAAAAGCGCTGATTTACCACAGAATCGTCGGGTGTTGACTGTAAAATAATCATTTTTGCTATTAAGTGGTAAAATTTAAAGCATTTAAAGCAAGCATTTAAAGCCAATTTAAAAATAAAACTAAACAAAAAGTTTAAAGAAAATTGCTGGAAAATGAAAAATAGATAATTTTCAAAAAAAAATTACCACTGAGTCGACTGGTGGAAACTGAAAAAAACTCTTTATGAAAGAATTTGAAAATTTGAGACTATATTAAAAGAGCCCCGTTTAAAAGAGCGCCATTCAAAAGAGCGCCGTTTAAAAGAGAGCCTTTAAAAGAGCGCCATTCAAAAGAGAGCCGTTTAAAAGAGCGCCATTCAAAAGAGAGCCGTTTAAAAGAGCGCCATTCAAAAGAGCGCCATTCAAAAGAGCGCCATTCAAAAGAGCGCCGTTTAAAAGAGCGCCGTTTAAAAGAGCGCCGTTTAAAAGAGCGCCATTCAAAAGAGCGCCGTTTAAAAGAGAGCCGTTTAAGAGAGCGCCATTCAAAAGAGCGCCATTCAAAAGAGCGCCGTTTAAAAGAGAGCCGTTTAAGAGAGCGCCATTCAAAAGAGCGCCATTCAAAAGAGCGCCGTTTAAAAGAGCGCCATTCTAAAGGGCGCCGTTTAAAAGAGCGCCATTCAAAAGAGCGCCATTCAAAAGAGCGCCAATTCCAGGGCACCAATGCAAAAACACTCAAAAGAGCGCCAACAATTTGCAAAAAATGAAAGAAGCAGTAGTGAAGCTTCGTTAAGCGCGTAAATAAGCAAGATTAAATCTGCTATAGGTGGCCAATTCCATAGAGGATATGCAAAAAAGATCAAACTTCGTGAATGTGAAGCAGAGGCCATGTGGATTTGAATTTTGTGGTAGTCCACCTTTCTACAAGCAGAGGCCAGTGAAAGGCCAGTGTGAAGCAGGTTCCTATTCCGTTCTTATTTGGTTCCTATTCGGTTCCTACTTGCAGAGGTTGTGTGGAGCAGAGGCTGTGTGGAGCAGAGGCTGTGTGGAGCAGGTTCCTATTTGGTTCCCATTCCGTTCCTATTCGGCTCCCATTCCGTTCCTATTCGGTTCCTATTCGGTTCCTACTTGCAGAGGCTGTGTGGAGCAGAGGCTGTGTGGAGCAGAGGCTGTGTGGAGCAGAGGCTGTGTGGAGCAGAGGCTGTGTGGAGCAGAGGCTGTGTGGAGCAGAGGCTGTGTGGAGCAGAGGCCGGGTGGATTTGAATTTTGCCGGTGGTGGTATTCCATCTTTGCGCAACGTTGAGAACAATTCTTGATAAGCGGTCTCCGTTTTAGTATTCATCGGTGCATAAATTCGTCCTATCCACGTCAAAGCCATTCTCATCATAGATAAGCGCTCGTCCTTTCCACGTCAAAGCCATTTCCCGAAAAAAAATTGAACAATGAAACACTCGTTAATCAAAATAAAGCACAATTTTAAACTAAATTTTTAATTTTTTTAATTTTCGCGCTCTTTTGAGTGGCGCTCTTTAGAATGGCGCTCTTTAGAATGGCGCTCTTTAGAATGGCGCCCTTCTAAACGGCTTTTTATATAGTCCCAAACTTTTCTTTAATGAAAACACAAAAAAGGCACCAAGTCAAAGGTGAGCTGCTTTACCGGCGCATCGTTGACTGGAAAAGACTGGAAAAAAAAGGTTTATTTGCAAATTTTTCGTCAATCTGGATGTCACGATAGCTTTTGAAAAAGATAGATTTTCAATTTGAACAAAAACAAACGTTTCTATAGCTCACCTCATTGTTGTTCTCATGGTTTCGCATCGAAGAGCAGCGCTTATCGACCCAGAACTAGAAAATTGACAATTGCAAAGTTTAATCTGGATGTCACTGCACTTATAGGTGTTTTTATTTTAGCGATAGGTTTAGGAATAAAATTTTCTCTGAAAATTCTCTGAACATTCTCTGAACCTGTCTCAATTCCAGATGTGGACTCGTTTGCGCTCCTTTCCATGCCACGTCCTCCTCTTCAGCTTCTCTAAATTGATTCTTTTAGCTCTTCTAGCTCTTCTCAGCTTTATCTTCCCAACTTTTTCCGTTTTTTTGCAGCTTTTGGTGGTTGACCGTCGTTTCGAGACATAAAACCGACCACGCACAACTCCAGAAGAGACATAAAGATGAAAAGCATTCCGCTGAAATACGAAAATTGATAATTTCCCCCGTCTGTGCATCGATTTTCAGAAATTTGCATATGAAAAACATCACTTTGAGCACTTTTCCTGATTGCCCTTAGTTTAGCGTTTAACTCTCCATCTCTTTCAGTATTTTATCACGTCAAGTTTTGATCTGGAAGGCACACGAGAGTTTCCTTAACCTAGTTTCGATCCAGCGGAGAATTAGGGTATAGCTAATAGCAAGCTACAGTAACCCCCAAAATTATAGCCTACAGTACGCCAAGCTGGTCTGATTTCTATTTTATGCTCTAATCTGGAAGGCACCAGGAAGCTTTGTCGATTTTGTTTCATCATTAGAGGGATAATTAGATAGCTTACCCCGCCAAGCTACCGTAACCCCGAAAATTATAGCCTACAGTACACCAAGCTGGTCTTATTTCTTTTCCATTCTCCAATCTGGCACGCACGAGAGCTATCCGTTCAAGAATGACATCTCATATCTTCTCAAATCCTCACCTCAACATCCACACATCGATCGCTTTCACATACGAGACGCGCGGGAGATTTCGGATGATATTCCCGAATTGAAACGTCATCGCGAGAAGAGAATTCACCCCCAGCATTGTCCTGGCAGGGATGGCTCTGAAATTTTGGATTCGAATCGATCAAGAATGAGAATTCGGACGTCAAAACTCTTTATTACTTCCAATGGGTACCTCTGTAAGCTCAAAGGCTTTAAAACCGTTTAAAAACTTTTGCAAACCCTGCAGTGCAACCCAGTTTGAGCTTTGCGTCAAAACTCTCCACCTCACCTTGCTCCCAAATAAAACGAGATCCACGAGATCAAAATGGTGACCATTGTCGGGATGTAGCCCTGAAATTCGTTAAGGAATCGTTCAAGTAAATTTTCAGAAATTCGTTGTGACTTCCAGGATTTCGATTAAAGTTTTCCAAATCGATTTACCTGTAAGATGTACCATCCATATCGGCGTTTGAAGATGAAAGCAACGGTTAGCTCGTCCCAGAAGCCGGCTGGATAAAGCTGGAAAGGTTTGCTTAGGGTTTTCGGGGGATCTGGATGTCGCTAGGCAAAATAACAATCGACTCACCATCTCCTCGGCCATTGTCGAGAAATGGACCAACTCGAAATCGGGCAATTGAATGTCTTTCATCAAAATCACTGGGAATGGCTGATTCCAATTCATTCGCACCTCGCCCGTGTTGTAATTGTAACTGAGAAGTGGTTTTTAAGCCAGAGAAATCAAAAGGGGGCAGTTAAGGCCGGAATTGGCTTCCTCAAGGGTCAAGCAAGACTGGATTTGACTTGGATTCACCCGGGCCAAATCGGGTACGCTAATTTGGTGATAATCAAAAATCCGAATGCTGAGAATTGTAGTGTGACATCCAGATCAAAGAAAAATGCAATTAAAATCAAATTGCGTTTGTCAATTTTTTGGAATCATCGCAGACTCTTGACAGTGTTCGCGTTCGAAATGATTCCGAAAAATTGGCAAATGCAATTTGATTTTAATTGCGCTTTTTCTTCGATCTGGATGTCACACTACAATTCTCAGGATTCAGATTTTTGGTTTTCATCAAAATAGTGCGGTCGAGAGTGTACTGTCAAGAGTTCGCAATGATTCCGAAAAATTGGCAAACGCAATTTGATTTTAATTGCGTTTTTTCTTCAATCTGGATGTCACACTACAATTCTCAGGATTCAGATTTTTGGTTTTCGTAAAAATAGTGACTGCGGAAGTGGACTGTCAAGAGTTCGGAATGATTCCGAAAAATTGACAAATGCAATTTGATTTTAATCGCTTTTTTTCTTCAAACTGGATGTCACACTACAATTCTCAGCATTCGGATTTTTGATTTTCACAATTTGTACTCGATTTGCGAGTCTGGGTAGACCAGAAATTAAGTTCTGGTTTCCGGTAGCTAGAGTGTTTTTTGGCTATTGCATGAGCTAAAGGATGCTCTATTTGTCTACTATAAGCTGCTTATCCAAAAAAAGACAAGATTACGGTAGAAATGGGCATAGTTTAGAAGGTTTAGAAGAACTCACGATTCAAAAGTGAGCAAGCATTTCTGTTGATCAAAGGGGAATCTTTTGAGATTCATCTCACATGGACCGGTCAATTTCATTCGATAATTCGTCCATAAAGTTCCATTCGAGAAAATCATCAAGAAGATGTTTCTAGAAGGATTTTGAAAGGATTTTGACGATTTTGACAGGTTTTTGACGATTTTGACGATTTTGAGAGCTTTTCCATTAAATTCTAAAAGGATTTCTAGAATTTTGAAAGTGATTCCCGCAAATTGGATGTCACTAACCGAAATGGTGACTCGTGAATGGCCGCATTTTTCGAATTGATAAAACATGTGTTCGGGATCCATAAAGCTTCGAGAATCTAGAGATCGGATTAAATCTTTTCTCTTTCCAAGACTTACTTTATGATCGAATGAGTAGTTGTTTTTACATGGAGTCAAATGCTCGTAGATTAGCGCCGGATCCTCCCAAAACTCGTTGATGTATAAGTCTGGAAAATTGATCAGTCGGTTTAACGGGTTCCCCTCTTTTTCAAGAAATTTTGTCTATGACATTGGCTTGATTTCTATTTTAAGCTCCAATCTGGAAGGCACCAGGAAGCTTTGTTGATTTTGTTTCACTATTAGAGGGATAATTAGATAGCCGCCCTACCAAGCTACAGTAACCCTCAAAATTATAGCTTACAGTACGTCAAACTGGTCTGATTTCTATTTTAAGCTCTAATCTGGAAGGCACCAGGAAGCTTTGCCAATTTTGTTTCATCATTAGGAGGGTAATTTGATAGCCTACCCCACCAAGCTACACTAACCCCGAAAATTATAGCCTACAGTACGCCAAACTGGTCTGATTTCTATTT